TATATATATATATATATATATAATTTAGGTGTATACGCACCTCATCTCTTCTCCCAATTAAATATATTTTATGATTTGTTGCAAATAATAAAAAACGAATGCCGTCAGTCTTCTCGCATGCAACATAATCACGACGAAATAATTCTACAGCAGCAGCAGCAGCAGCAGCAGCAGCAGGAGCAGCAGGAGCAGCAGTAGCAGCAAACAAAGAAAAATTATAAACTCGAAGCAACACTGCACTAGCAACAGACACAACAGCAGCAGCAGAATTATACTGCTGCTGCTCCTGGTGCATCTGAGTACCTTCCATGCGCTAGTTGTAAACCCTAAACCCTAAACCCTAAACCCTAAACCCTAAACCCTAAACCCTAGACCGTACCCGCCATATTTTGGAAGGAGAGAGAGACTGGTTGTCCACCAGGAAAAGTATTTCTTTTCCATCTAAGAATTCTTTTTATTTCTGTTTTTATTTGTTTTGCTGTTAATAGAGGAAATAAGGATATATCTGTACCCTCTAATATACCTGGTAAAGGAATTGTTGTATCTGTTATATATCCACCTGCTGCTCCTGCTGCTGCTGCTGTTGCTGCTGTTGCTGCTCCTCCTCCTGATCCTGATGATGATGGAGGTGGTGGTGGAGGTGGTGGAGGTGGTGGACCTCCTCCTCCTCCTCCTGCACCAGGGTCACCAGCACGGTAGCCGGAAGAACGCTGATAATCTCGCATCGTTGAACTAGGGTTTAGGGTTTAGGGTTTAGGGTTTAGAGGGTAGAGGTAAATAAAATAACAATAAAAAGGATATAAACCCTAAAGGGAAAAGAGAAAGAAATAAGGATGTAATAAATGACACATAAATGGGGGGGGGGCGTCTAAAAGAAGGAATGCATCCCTCTTCTATGCTTGTTCTGATGCTGTAGCAGCTGCTGCTGCTCAGGGAGCAGCTGCAGCAGCAGCAGCGGTTGCTACTGCTACACTAGTAAGTTATAGCTGCTGCTGCTGTAGCAGCAAATGTGCTGCACGGGGCATTTTTTGAGTATTGGCAGCAGCAAAATAGTTCGTATTGCTGCTCAGGTGTATCTGCTGCTGCCTCTGTGCTCCCTATACACCTCAGAGGATAAGATGAAATAAAACAAAATGCAGCAGCAACAAAGAAATACAAAAAAAAAGGTTTATTTCCTCCTGACGCGCATGCAATTCAGACAAGCAATCGGAGGTCTATACACCGGGAATGCGGTGTAGTTACAACAAGATAAAGTATTTGTTTATAATTATACTAAAATAAAATGATAAATTAATTTGTTAAAAAATAAAGAGGAAAGAAAAAGATTCAACAAAGAAGTATACAAGAATAAATCAACAAGTGGCTTCTGCTATAAGGAATACATTGCATGCATGCATCCAGACCAGCATTTTTTCTTATTAGCGTGTCGCCGGCTGCATCAATAAATAAAATAAATTAAATTGTGTATTAAAAACAATAATTAATATTATTATTCTTATTATTAACAGCAAAAAATACAAAAAAATTGAATAAAAGAACAAAAGTAGGCCGAGCAGGATTCGAACCCACGACCACCCGGTCCGTAGCCGGGCATTCTATCCAACTGAACTATCGGCCTGGTGACAGGTGGTAATTCTTATAGAATTACCAGCAAAAAGGGGAAGAAAAGGGGCAAAAAATAGGAATAAAAGGAGTGTTAATTGATTAATAATAATATTATAATAATTTATAATATATTTATATCCTTTTATTTCCTTATTTTACTCTTTTTTACCGCTAGCGACATGTATGTAGCCCCCACCAGCATGCTGCAGCATGCCGCTACTACTGCTAGTGGTCTCAGTCCAGCCCGCTATGGATAATAAGTGCATAATCCCCTTTTTTTTCCTTTTTACTGCAAGAAGTTTGTTGTTTTTGTTTAATAATCCAATAAAATACCTTTAATTGACTCATTTTACCTCCGGGTAACAGAAGAAACAAGAAAAAATACAACTTATTCAAGTTGTGATTTCAGAGGAAGTAGTTGAATAAGTGATCGAGACTGTCGATCCGCCTCCTTCGTCTTCTTTCTTATTTCTTTTGTTGTTTTCTTTTGTTTATTAAAAGAAGAGTGTAAAGAAGTATTTCTTTTATAGTACTTTCTTCTACTATTTGGATAAGGTATTGTTTTCTTAATGGTAATAATGCATAAAGATAAGAAGGAATGACGGAAACCAGCTGCTCCTATTCAGCTTTTCTTCTATTGGGGATTAATTTCTTGTCTTTCCCCATGATATGAATAATTTTCTTTCCTCTTTTTACATATTGAACGCAGCGTAGAGGCCACACTCTAGTTTAGGGAAGAAAAAGGGAAAAGTACTATTATATGAATAATTGATGATGAAGGACTCGTTGTTGTTGCCTCGTATTTGTTTTTTATTCGTATTATTCTTCTTTATTTTCTTAAATATTCATAAAAAAGAAGTTTCTGCGGCGGATTCAGCTTCTAGTGTGACGTTAGAAGATCGTGTAGCTGCCGATACACCTTGGGGTGTACGGTCAGGTGCAACCACTCCAACGACGAAACCTGCAGATGATGTATATCTAACGAAAAGGGAACATAATAATGATAATGGACCATCAATTAAATTAAAAGTTGTTGATGGAAATGGAAGAGTTGCAGAAATACCGATAGATTTCCATGAGGCGCGTATACAGCCTCGAGGTTTCTGGGGGGATGTAGGGGTGAATGGTATGGCATTATTTTTAGCTTCTGCATGCCTTTTATTAATAAAGGAGATATTTTCTTTTATTTCTTCAAGAAGAGAAAGAAAATTAAATATAGCACAAAGACAAAATGCTGCACAAAGAAGAGCATTTATTACTTCAAGATTAGAGGAAGCTGATCAAGAATTACAAGAAATAGAAGAAAATATACAAGAAAATATACAAAATAAAGAAGAAAATATTAAACCATTAAGAAAAATCCTACAAAGTTTAGATTTATACAGAGAAGAATTAAGAGATGCGGATGCTCCTGCTGTATTAGCATACTTAGATCATATACTACAGAGAACAAAAATGCTTATAAGAAAGAGCAGCAGCAGCAGCAGCAGCAACAACAGCAGCAAAGGAACATTCGCGCATGCAGATGACTTGGATGATGATGATTTGCTGCAGATTAATGTTTCCTCTTCCTCATCTCATGCTGCAGCAACAGCAGCAACAGCAGCAGCAGCAGCAACAACAAAAGCAGCAGAATCGACAGCAAGCAGCACAACAAAACAAGAAATGATTAATGACAGTATTTCTTCCGATTCATCAACCACCACAAACCAACAACAACAACAACAGCAGCAGCAGCAGCAGCAGCAGCAGCAAGAGCAGCAGCAGCAGCAGCAGCAGCAGCAGCAGAAGCTGAAACCAGATATAGAAATGGTACAAATGTTAGCCCAACAGAATCCCCATTTAACACCTCCAGAGGTAATTAGATTAGCACAAGAATTAATGCAAAAAAGAGGAGCAAATATAAAAAAAAATAAATATAATTAATTAATTTATTCATTAAATTAATTAATTATTTAGTATATGAATTAATTTAATTAATTAATTAATTAATTAATTAATTAATTAATTAATTAGTTAATAAACGAATTAGAGGGGGTATCTTCTTTAATAAGAAGAAGTAATAGTAATTAATTAATTAACTAATTAATTAATTAATTAATTAATTAATTAATTAATTAATTAATTAATTAATTACTACTAATAATAGCATTATAGCTATTATTATTATTATTATTATTAATTTATTTATTTATTATTTATTTATTATTTATAATAATAACTGTATTTCCTGTCATAAAGACAGGAAAATATAAACAAATATACAAGGATGTATATTCTTGTTTATATATAAATATTTGTATATTTATATTTATATTTATATTTATATTTATATTTATATTTATATTTATATTTATATTTATAAATATTTATTTAATTTATCCTTGCCTAATAACAAAGAGAGAGAGAGATTAGCTAGGCTAGGTGGCTAGCTAGCTGGGTAGACAGCTAGGTAGGTAGGTAGGGAGGCAGCTAGCTAGCTAGCTAGGTTATGTACGTAACTAGGTAGCTAGCTAGGTAGCTAGCTGGTAACTGTACCGGCTGACTAGCTGGCTACTGGTAGTAAGCTGTATAGCTAGCTGCTGGCCTGCTAGCTAGGTAGCTAGCTAGCTTGCTGTCTGGATGGCGATTTACCTTGCTAGCTAGCCACCGATTCATTAGAGCAGCTAGCTTGCTAGCTGGCTAGCTAGCTAGCTAGCTAGCTAGCTAAGTTATTATGTGCGCATAGATGCATAGGCGTAAGGGAGAGAAGGACTAAATAAAACAACAAATGCATCTCTAGTTATTGCCAATCCTCTGCTGTACGTACAATGCAGAGGAGGCAATTACCTGCAGCTGCAGCAGCTGCAGCTGCTGCAGAACTTCTGTTGCTGCTCCTCCTTGCTGCTGTTGCTGCTGCTGCTGCTGTTGCAGCAGCCTGCAGGCAATGAGTATGCGGGCAGCAGCAAACAAACAAAAAATAAAATTATTCGCAAATAAGGACACCGCTGCGTGCTGCTGCTGCTGCTGCTGCTGCTTTTTAGCTAGCAACAACAGCAGCAGCAACTGCAGCAGTTACTGCTGCTGCAGCAGCAACAGCAGCAGCAGCATATTATTTATATTATATTTTAATTTGTAATGCATGCAGCATCCATTTCCTTTTTAATTCTTTTATTTTTTTTTTTTCTTTTTTTTTATTTTTTTTTTCTTTTTTCTTTTTTTCTTTTTTTTTATTTTTTTTTATTTCTTTTTTTTCTTTTCCTTCTATTCTTTCCCCTACTATACATACATCACTGTTGCTGCTGTCGCTGTCGCTGCTGCTGCTGCTGCTGCTGCTGCTGCTGCTGCTGTTGCTGCTGCAGTCTGAATCGGATTCAACTGTGACGTATTCTGTCTTTTGTTTTACAGATGACTTAGAGGGAATATTCTCCTCAACATTTATCCATATTTGCTGCTGCTGCTGCTGCTGCTGCTGCTGCTGTTGTTGCTGCTGCTGTGGCTGCTGTTGCTGTTGCTGTTGCTGCTGCTGTTGGACTAGGAGTAATCTACGTCTTGCTGCCTCTGCTGCTGCCTCAACGATATCCGTTGTATGCTGCTGCCGCTGCTGCTGCTGCTCATAACTGCTGCTGCATGCACGACGTATGCATGCATCTTTTTGTTCTTTTTCTTCTCTTATATTTTTATTAGTAGGTAATTCCTTTAGGTACCATGTACCTTTCTTTATATCATTAGATACAGCAGCAAAATCGCTAATCCTGCTGCTGCTGCTGCTGCTGCTGTTTATATTACTTATATGTCCTGCTTGTACTAAATATCTTTGTCTTGCTTTATGCTGTCTAGACACCTCAATCTCTGCTGCAGCAAATAAATTTATATGTCCTTTTCCTCCTATTTGTCCTAATGCATCTACTTTCCCTTCATTCGGGTGTACAGGCAGCTCAGCAGCAGCTACAAGAGGCTGCTGCATAGCAGCAGGAGGACGCCATAAACCCTCTATAGCCGGTGCGTCCCAAGCAGCAGCAGCAGCAGCAGCAGCAGCAGCAGCAGCAGCAGAAGGTCTTGCTTCTGTTGCTGATGCTGATGGTAGTTGTGGTCCAGCTACTACTGCTTCGGTTGGAGATGCTGGTGCTGCTTCTGCTGCTGCTGCTGCTGCTGCTGCTGTTGCTGCAGGTCTCTTTTCTCCATAAGAACTATTTGCAGCAACAGGACGGTTGCTGCTGTGTGTCTCCTCAAAGAGTGAACACCATCTATGAGGTATTGCTTTTGCTGCTGCAGGTGCTGCAGCAGCAGCAGCAGGTGCTGCTGCTGCTGGTGCTTTACCATTAGCTGCTGCTGCAGCATCATTATTTGCTGCTGCATGCTTATCTGTTTCTTGTATATTATCTACATTCATCTTACGTCTCTTAAATAGAGTAAGTGCATCCGTCATGACTGTCCGTTGCTGCTGCTGCCTATACACCTCAATTGCTGCCTTGAACTCCGCCTCATCGCGCAGCACACGAAGACGATTATCATCTCTATACACATGCCACCTCTTCTGTGGTAATATATTCAGGCCTCCATGGCCCCCCATTGTCTATATATATACACAGCAGCAGCAACAGCAGCAACAGCAGTAGCAGTCAGCAGTAGCAGCAGATACTGCAGCAGCTGCCGCTGCTGCAGTATCTGCTGCTACTGCTGACTGCTACTGCTGTTGCTGCTGCTGCTGCAGCTGAGGCAGATGCAGTATCTGCTGCTGCTGCTGCTGATGATGCAGACGTTATTGATTATCCAGGATGTTAATATTAAGATGACTGCAACAAAAGCAGCAAATGACCATTTGCTGCTGCCTAATGCAACAAGCTGCGGCTAATAATACCCTGATGATCACGGTGGGGTAAAGAGAAGAGAATCCTTAAGAGTAAAAGAGACAGCAAAGAAGAAAGAAAGAAGAAATAAATATTAAATTATAAAAGAGATAAAAAAGAAAAGAAATGCAGAAAATCACCAAAGGTACAGAGCGGTGCGGCAAAGATGACGCTTCTTAGATATAAAAGGGAATATATCTTATATATACATTATACTGTACTACTAATTGAAAATATGATTCTTTATCATAAAAACTAAATAATAAAGACAAAATAAACCCTTTTTTACCGCAAAATTAAGAGAAGAAATGTCTATAATGATGGCTTACTCGCTGATCGCCACCGTGACTTGCAAAACGACGGAAGGGGGGCCCCGGGGCCCCCAATCTTCCTTCTGTGGTGGTCTATTGGCTGAGAGATAAAAATCATTATTTAATAATATTATATTTGTATTTTTCTTGTTTATATTAATCCAGTTGAGGAAGAAGGATGTTGATTATTTCCTTTATTTAACTTCGGTCTTTGGTGGTTCAATATTAACCATTTAGTTTATGCGGAGAAAAGGAGCTTATGCAAGTGGGTAATGCAAATATGCCGCTAATAAACTACTACTACAGGATAAAATATAATGAGAATGACGAATTTATTTTATGAAAATTCAGAAAAATTGAATTTTCCTGTCCTAAGATGGGTGAGACGGCGGAGGTTTCGCCTGCACCTTCGGCTGAGGTGTCTAGACACCTCAGCAGACCAATTTGTGAACTTTGTCAGTTTCTCCGCGGATCCATAGCCGGAACAACCGCCAAAACTATCGTTTATCCCCTAGATCGTCTTAAAATTACCCTCCAGGTATAATTATCCAAAAAAGAATTAAAAATGACCCTCTAATATTGAGGATCAGACCCTTGCTTCTTCCTGTAGAATAGCCAGCACGGGGGGAAAGAAGGCGTTAAATCGACAACTCTTTTGGTCATCAGCAGCGAAAAGTAGAGATTAACATACATATAAATATAAATAAAATTTGCATGCATGCATGAATATTTGCATGCATGCAGACAAATATACTATTTAGTGATGTTTTTCCACTTTTTTTTTTCTTACCTTTAGGTTAGGAGCGCATACTCTGGAGAAGTATTTTCTGTAAGAAGAATACCAAGAGAATTAAATCGTTTTATACAAACAGAGGGATTTCTTTCTTTATGGAAAGGAAATTCTTCAGCTATTTGCAGGTAATAAAATAATTTATTTTCTTTCTTCTTTCCCTGTAATGCTGCTGCTGCTGCTGCTGCTGCTGCAGTTAGTGGTTTTGCTGTTGCTGTTCCTGCTGTTGATTTCGTTTCTGCTCTTCAAGGTTCCTTTTACTTACATCCTCCTACTGTGCTCCTGTTGCTGCTCCTGCTGCTGCTGCTGCTGCTGCTCCTGCTCCTGTTGCTGCTGCTGCTGCTGCTGCTGCTGCTCAGGATATTTCCCCATAGCGGTATTGTATATTTTTCTTTTGATCATTATTTAGAGGCCCTCCAAAGATGGAATGAAAATAATGCGAAAATTAATCGTCTATGTGCAGGAGCAGCAGCAGGTATGCCAGCAGCAGCAGCAGCACCAGCAGCAGCAGCAGCAACAGCAGCAGCAGCAGCAGCAGCAGG